ATTACCTAAACGAGCCTACAAAAGCTTGATCTTGATTTATTTGTCGATATTAATGAGTTGAGTTACATAAAAAATCTTCTTTTTAACACTTAACGAGTCGATCCGATCCGATCCAATCCCGTATCACGAGCGGCTCATTTAGATTAGGACACTCAATTGTCGCCTCCCCATGCCGACATCAAAATGCAAAATCTAATTGGGCTTACGCTTTAAAAAAGCCCAAAAGCCCATCTCCATAACACCTTCCATCTCCCACTCAGCCGCCGTCTGCGGCCGCGCCACCATCCTCCACCACCAGCCACCATCTCTTTCCCCCCTCTCTCTCCATCTCTCTCCCCTCATGGCCATTTTCGACCTCCTCATCAAAACCCGCCCCGCCATCCACAACCCCCGCCGCCTCCTCCTCCCCGCTGCCGCCGCCCACTTCTCCACCTCCTTCCTCGTCACCAAAACCCCCAAAAAATTCCGCAAAAAACGCAAAAAAAACGAGAGTCCCCGGACCCAGCCCGTCCAGACCCAGCCCAACCTCATCCCCCACCTCGAATCCCTCCTCCGCCGCGACTCTCGTTTCCGATTCCTTACCAAAACTAAGGAATACCTCTCCAAACAGCCCCACCAAATCCTCCGCCTCGACGACGCCGGCAAGCTCCACCAGCAGCTCGGCTTTCCCCGCGGCCGCAAAGTCCTCAAATCCATCCTCCGCCACCCCCTCATCTTCCAGACCTACCGCCACACCGACAATAAGATGTGGCTAGGGTTTACAGACCTCATGGACCGGCTGCTGGTCGAGGAACGGCAAATCGCCGACAAAATGGAGCTCCAAAGGGTCGCCGTCGTCCGTAAACTACTGATGATGTCCGCTAACAAGAGAATTCCCCTCAGCAAAATCTACCACAACCGTGCCCTGTTTGGAATTCCAGAGGATTTCAGGGACCGGATTGCAAATTACCCCAATTTATTCCGAATCCTCGTCGAGGAAGATGGCAAGCGCATTCTTGAATTAGTCGACTGGGACGGCTCGTTGGCCGTGAGTTCTTTAGAGAAGGAGTTCATGGCCAATGAGGATAAGGCGAAACGAGCTTTTCGGTTTCCAATAAAACATGTCAAGTCATTGGAGCTCGATTTAGACGACGAGCGAAAATTAAACGTGCTAAACTCATTGCCTTTGGTCTCGCCTTACTCGGACGGGAAAAAGCTCGATTCTTGGACTTTAGAAGCTGAGAAGTACCGTTGTGGGGTGGTGCACGAGTTCTTGAGCTTGACATTGGAGAAAAGGGCTTACATTCACAACATTGTGGAGTTTAAGGATGAGTTGAGCCTCACAAGGCGTACGTACGAAATGCTCTCGAAGCAACCGAGCACGTTTTACTTAGGTGGGACGAAGATGAATTGGTGTGTTTTCTTGAAAGATTGTTATAATAACGAGGACGGGAAGCTCGTCGGTACTAAGGATCCACAAGTGGAGTTTAACGAGAGGCTTTACGAGTATGCCGGAATGCAAGAATTGGAGTCGGACGATATGAGAAATGAGAATTAGGTGAGATGCACGGGTTGCTTGCTTGGATATGTTGGTAGAAATTTGATGGCTTTTTAATGAAAAAGCTAGCTTTTTTTCATGCTGGTTTGGATTTTTTGTGAGAAATTATTCTGTTTATCTGTCATGAGTCAAGTGATTTACTGATTGAGTTAACGAAAATATGCATGAAATGATTTACAGATTGAGTTTATGATGAAAATGTGAATGATAAGCATTCATTATTTCTCTATATAGTTCAATACATCTCCAAAGTTCAATGTGCTCGGCTTGGAATAATTGTGGGATGAGTGTCTGTTTGTAAAGTCAGCTGATAACTGATGAGTTAGTTTATATCTTATAAGTGATTTTTGAGATTATAGTTTATGACTTATAGAAAAAAAAAAAAATAGTTTATATGTAAAAATATTTAGTAAAATTAACAGATAAGTTAGCTGAAATAAAAATTTCAACGAGCTATTTAAAAAACTAACAAAAAAACTTATAAAATAAACTCGAGTGTTTAAAATAATATTAAAATTTATGCTATTAATGGAGGGTGTATTTTATATTAATGTTGAATTTTTCTTCTTCTTGTATTCTATTGATATAGAAAAAGAAAAAAAAAAATAATAAGATGCATAACGTTTTGTAAAATAAACAAAATTATTTTAAAGTTTATCTGTTTGGGCCTATACCAATTACCAAGAGCTTGAGCCCAATATACGCAGCAGACTGAATTAGATGTGATTCATAATCTCGTCATTGAATTTCTTCCCCAAATCCTCTGATTTGCGCGGTAGGGTTTTAGGCGGAGACAATTTACTTCGATTAACTTATCTACTGATATATACATTTTTTTTTTTTTCGTTTATTGTTTCTGTCAGAAATGTGAGCATTTGTTTCTCGCTCAGAAGGTTGATTAACGTTGTTCAAACTGGTTGTGGCTATTCTTAGAACGCATTCTGATTTGTGTGTTTATCTGCTTTGCCCATGATTTAGATTGCGGTTACGAATTCAATCAAGTGATTTGATATCTGGGTCGCTGATTTTTCCCTGGTTTTCTGTGTTTCCAAGCGATTTTTTTGACGGTGGTTTCGTTTACTTCTTAATTCTGTTATCCCATAATACTGACTTGCAGCTGCCCGATTCTTCGTTTTCCGAATCATTTTTACAGTAGTTTGATATTGTATGCAAAGTATAATTTAGTGGAGTGTTTTTAGTGGAGTGTTTACAGCCCATTTTTCAGATATGTAGGTGCTCAAAGTTCGTTTCGCTCGGTGTTCTCATTTGTAGCCGATCAGTTTCAAATTGTATGAAATGAAGTTGAAATATCAGAAATGTAGTTGCTCAAAGTTCATTTTGCTCGGTGTTCTCATTTGTAGCCGATCAGTTTCCAGTTGTATGAAATGAAGTTGAAATATCAGAAATGTAGTTGCTCAAAGTTCATTTTGCTCGGTGTTCTCATTTGTAGCTGATCAGTTTCAAATTGTATGAAACCAAATTGTATGAAATGAAGTTGAAATATCAGAAATGTAGTTGCTCAAAGTTCATTTTGCTCGGTGTTCTCATTTGTAGCTGATCCGTTTCAAATTGTATGAAATGAAGTTGAAATATCACGTGAAATCATTTACAGTCGTTTATTCCCGTTTCTACAGGTAATTTGGGAAGATAAAGATCAACACTTATCCATAAGTTCAAAGTTGAAATAGCTAGAGCTACAAGATGCTGCAGATTCGGCTGAGTAAACCAGTTAGTGAAAGCGGTACAAATGTAAAACCTGTGTCTGTAGAAACTGTCACGGTTGCATGTCCCGATCATCTTGTCTTAGCCGATCTTCCTGTGGCCAAAAGTCTCGGTTCTCCATGTTCGGCTGCTGTTATCAAGAATGTTGGTCGGAGGTCCCGTCGGCAGCTTGGTGAGCGCGTTCATTTTTGTGTCCGGTGTGACTTCCCGATTGCTATCTATGGGCGTTTGGCAAGTGCTTTCTCTATCTCCTTCTCTCTGATTATTTTGGTTGTACGATTAACTGACAATGTGAATATGTGAAATATTAGGATCTTTTATGCCATACTGGGAAGGATGAATGAGCTTTAGTTTCCTCGTTTAAGTATTGACATTTGTCTGGTTGAAGCAAATACTGGAAAAATAGACATGCCTTTGTTAAATACCGTGACATGAGTTCCAGTGCATTTGAAAACTTGTTTTATTATTACTGCAGAGCCCCTGTGAGCATGCCTTCTGTTTGGACTGTGCTAGAAGCGATTCCCTTTGCTACCTGTAAGGCATATTTTAAACTTTTTACAGTAATAGTTACATTATCAACAATTTAATTTGATAGATATGGTTCTTCAATCTTCTTTATCTTTCCCGTTTGTTACTCATTTTTTGGTAAAATTTAGATGTGACGAACGTGTTCAAAAGATTCAAACTATCAAAATGATGGAAGGATTATTCATATGCGCTGCACCTCACTGCCTCAAGTCCTTCTTGAAGAGAACTGAATTCGAGTCACACATCCGTGGGGCCCACGCTGACCTCATTAACCCGAACTGGGAAAAGGAAGTGAATGAGTCATCAGAGGCCATAAGCTCCCGGAAAGCCTCGGCTTCTGAGACTACAGTTCAGGCACCTTTAAAGCCGGTGTTTTCTCCCCATTTGAATTTTCAGGTTAACGATCGTGAAGACAAAAACCAGCAGCGTCCTCCGAATAGGGACCCATCGCTTTCCAGGCCCGTCATGCAGCTGAGGCCCGTGCCAAATTTTTCCGGTCAAGGCCCAAATCATCTGTCAGAACAACAACATCCTGAGACTAGTAATCAATTGCATGGGTTTGATACAGATGCTACACAAAACCGTCAGGACTCGGGTCAGTTTCTCGATGAGAAAGCCTAAAAATTTATGGATTATCTCGAAATAATAGTTTCAAAAAGGTAAAAAAAGTATATCTTTAATGTTATCGATTATTTAGAAAAAATGTTTACCTTTAAATATCGCATTTACACATTAAATTTATACAACTAGGTTAAGCTCGGGATTTTTCTTTAAAGCTATAAAACTAATAAATGTACGAATCTATTTTCTTCAAGCTCAAATGAAATTCAGTTGATCTTGTAATTTGCTTCTTAACAGTTAATCCAAATTCAGCTATGCCTGCTCCCCAGCAATTTGTTTTCCCTGCCAATTCATCCAACGGTGGAAAGAAGTTCTTTGGTGCTCCATATGAGATGGCAAAACCGAATTCCACCCAAGACCCTGGGCCAGGACAGGGCTCGATGCTGGGCTTCTCTCCACGGCCTGCTGGGCCCATTACCTTCCCGCCAAATTATCCTCAGCCGTGGAACATGGGCCCTGGTTCCGTGCCTCTGGAGCCTCCTCTGGTGACTCAGGGGCCCACAGATGGGTTCGTGAATACCGGCCCACAAGGCAGAGGATTCTTTCAGGGTGATTTCGGGCAGAATACGGGTATTATGCCGTTAAGCGCCCCTCAACTGGCGGCAAATACAAGTGTGGAGCAGGGGCAAGGTAGGAATTTTGTGGACCCTATGGACGGGAAAAAAATTCCTCTGCCGCCATCTCAGCTGGCTCAGATGCAAAGAGGGAGGTCGTTTTCCAGCGATGGCAATAGTAGTAATATTAGCAATCACGATGCGCCACCCGGGTTCGAGTGGCCTTGCTGATGATAAATTATCTTTGATCTGAGGATAATTGCTTAGGCAGTGTTTTGTCAGTTGGTCTTTTGTTGTGTGAGTGAGTACTGGTTTTGAAATCTTGTTGGTAAAATGCACACTTTGTTTATTCATCATTTGGTCGTTGTGTAAGTATTTAGTACTGGTCTTGAAATTTTGGTGATGAAATGTACTGCAAGAACCAAGTACTAACAATTGCTTTTGGCACACTCTAGGCCTCCACAAGACATCACATTATATCAATCGGAAAATTTCGACCAATCGGTGACTGCACGAGTCTTTTACCATTGAATCAACATACTAAAAAGAAATTGTTGATGCAGTCATCTGTAGGATTGAACTCTCCCACACTACCCCCAACAAATAAGGAAAAATGGAAAAAAAAAAAATGACAAATGTATAATAAATACAAAATATTTGACAAAATTCTCCTTTTATTCTTCTCTGAAAAGCATTTGTGAACTGTTTCAAACAATTTACCAATTTAGCAAGTAATCCATTTCAATATATCCATTGCCTTGAAGAGCATCAAATAGGAGTTTATATGTGGAAGAGGGAAAGGATGAAGTTATGTTCCTCTTTCTTCAACTATAAAAATCACCTCAAACTTGAAAAAGTAAATGGGGTTTCTTTTTTTCTTGCAAAATACAAACCATCGCATAATCAAAAGAATCTACATTCTTTGAGGCAAACTACACTAGTTTGCACGAAAAAAGGAAGAGCGTGTCCAAGTTCTCATGATCCACACAAACTATATATCCGAAGTCGATACATCCTCGCACAATAGGAGCAAAATCGTGCCACAACAAATCGTAGTGGGTGTGTGAGTCGGCCGATGAATAGGAGCAGAACAAAGTAACAAATAACAAATTCAAAGAATCAAACTGATCCAAACATTGTGTTATTTTGAAGCTCAAGCACTATAAGCTACAAGTTCGACCCATTTTTCGTCAACTATTTCTTTTCGATTGATGAAGCACACTAATGAATCCTAACACAACTGGTGCATAAGATACACAAAACCAGAAAACACCCATTCTTGAAAACCTCTTCCATACAAATTCCACTAAATTTGTTCAACATGAGAAAACCTAAGAAAGAAGAAAAAAGGCATAAAACAAGAAACAAAATCGAAAATCCGAAAACCACAAATGCTTGTTTACACCACAAATTCATCACCACAATCAGAAGAACTACGAAAAACAACCCGTTGTTAATACGCTTGCAAAACGGGCCTCTTACCGAGCCGTTTGATCTCCCTATCCATTTGGCCAGTGAGCATTAAACCAAACATCTTGTAATCACACACCAAAGACCAAAAGGGGTGCCCAAAAGTGGCTGGCACATTCCCTTCAACAAAGAAATGACTATACCAAGCCAAACCATACCCAATCAAAGGCACAAATATTAAAAGCCACCAATTAAAGATCACAGAGTATACCAAGCACAAAATGCTGCAAAGGGTCCCCACGAAGTGCCACCGCCTCGTCGCTGGTTTCGAGTGCTGGGTCATGTAAAATGGCCAAAATTCCTCCATGCTCCTGAAATTCATGGCTTCGAGATGCAAATCTAAAGTCAGCCCAGGTAAAAAAATCCAATCTTGGTGAAGAATTTGAGATAAAAGGATGAAACTTTGAATTTTGCAGGGGTTTTCAAGGCACCCCAGATCGATAAATATGGAATTTCTATCAAGAAAAAGGGGGAACAAAATCAAGTCAGTAAGGTATAATAGTAAAGCACGAAAACTAACTGAAAAGGGCACAAAAGAGAAAAAAAGGGGGAAAGGGTGATGAAGGGTTGCAAGTAAATTCTTGTGGTGTAATCAATCTTCAATCTTTGTTGAGCTGAAAAAAGAGAAGGAAAAATTAAAACTAGGTTTCAAGGCATATTGAGAGAAGATGACAGTATAATTTACTGTGGTTCGACAATGTGCCTACGTCTACGGCAACTGAGGAATCTTTATTATTCTCAATAGTGTCAAATACATCAATACACCATGTATTTATACTATAATCATACAAAATATTAATTTACTTAAATACTCCGTACCGTACCGCAGAGGCTCTGCCTCCGCACTCCCGACCCAACTAATCGACCCAGCCCAACAGGGGCTAATGTCTGCTCGCTCCACTCCGCTCACTTCGTTCAGTCGCTCCGCTTCCCTCCCTACATTCGTTCTGTTACGCTCGCAGGCATCAGTCTGTCTCCTTTCTTTGTCAATATATGAGCCATACCAACAAGACATTAAATTAAAGAGAAGTCTCAGAAGTAGTGTATAGAGTAGTGTATTATTTTCCGGGAAATGTATAGATAAATCCCCAATCCTAAATTCATCTTCTCATTCAGTCCCTAGTGAAAAATTTTTTCATTCAACTCCCTAGTCAACAACTTTATGGTCCCCTCTAAGGTTTAAATTACATTTCTGCCCCGATACCTGTTTTTAAAAGAAAAGTACCAGTTTTCATTCAATATAGTACCAGGGGCTTTCAAAATAGTACCTTGTGTTATAAAATTACATGGAGTACCAAATGTCTTTCTATATTGTACCTGACTTTATTCCCGGAGTACCACCACATATAAAATGGTATCAGAGCCTAGGTTTTATTAAGAACTCTTAGA